AGCGGGCTACTTAGTCCTATTCGTTCTAAAGAAGGATAGGAAGCTTCGGATATATATAGACTACCGATAGCTAAACAAAGAGATAGTAAAGAACCGGTACCCCTTGCTACTTATCTTGCGGCTTCGAGACTAGTTAGCAGGCGCCTGTTACTTTACTTGCCTCGACCTTCCAATAGTATATACCTATATTTGCATTAAGGAAGGGGATAAGTGGAAGATAGTGTTTCGTACTCCTTACGGCCATTATAAGTACCTTATAATGCCCTTTGGATTAACGAACGTACTAGCAACCTTCTAGGCGGTCGTTGACTATATAATCCGCCTATTCCTCGACCGATTCGCAGTCTATTATCTAGATAATATCCTTATCTTCTCTAAAATACTCGAGGAATATAAAAAGCATATAAAGGCAGTGCTAGATATACTCTATAAGTATAAGTTATTAGTTAATAAGGACAAGAGCGAATTCTATATTATAAAAACAATGTTTCTTGGATATAAAATCTCGCCTAGTAGAATTAGGATAGAGCTAGCAAAGATTAAAGCAATCAAGAAGTAGCTATAATTAATAACGATAATAGAAGTACAAGAATTTATCGGATTCGCCAACTTCTACCGAATGTTTGTTAAGAACTTTAGCGACCTTATACAACTATTATACGAACTTACGAAGAAAGACATCGAGTTCCGGTAGGAAGCTGAGTATAAACAAGTATTTCAGAAGATCCACAATATAATTATCGCCGACCTAGTACTCTAGTTGCTAGACCTATAGAAGCCATTTAAGGTTGAAACCGATATATCGGACTATATAATCGGGGGACAACTTAGTTAGCGTAACGAATATAGGAAGTTACATCCAGTTATATTCTTTTCGAAAAAGCTCGAAGGACTATAGCTCAACTACCCTATCTACAATAAGGAATTGCTAGCCATTATCGAAGCTTTTCAAGAATAAAGGCCATACCTCAGTAGTATAACCTATAAAGTTCAGGTCTATATAGACTATAAGAACTTGCGGTACTTTACTACTACCAAGGTATTAAATGGACAATAGACTCAATAGGCGGAATTCCTTTTGGAGTTCAACTTTAAAATCAATTATAAGAAAGGCTCGGAAAACGCACGAGCAGATGCATTAAGCAGAAGGCCAGATCACTTTAGGAATAGCCAACCAGAAGCCTTGCTACTATTACTTCAATAATAGCCAGACGGTTCCCTATAGTATACTCCCCAACCGATAGAAGATCTCGATAACGATATGCTTCTATAATAGGATAAAGATCCCAGTATACAACCTCTACAACCGTTTGAAGAATATTATATAGTCTTTAGGGAAGAACAGCTAGGAAAAGACTTCTAGAACCAGAAGTAGAATAATACAGACGAAAAGGCAGGCATCTCTTGGAGAGATAGAGCATTATAGTATAATGGCAAGGCCTATATCGCACTATAGGATCAAACAGAACTGATCAAGACAATCCATAAGTCGAAGCTCGGAGGATATATAGGAATCGCTAAAACAGTCGCCAAGGTTCGGTAATACTACGACTTCCCAGGACTTAACACTAGAGTCAAGAATATTATATAAGAATATAACCTCTGCAATCGAAGCAAGTCGGTATAATACAAACTATATAGGCTTTTAGAGCCATTGCCAGTTGCAGAACAACTATAGAGTTCGGTGACGATAGATTTTATTACCAAACTACCGCTTTCTAAGGACTCGACTATAGGAACAAAGTATAATAGCATCCTTACTATAGTTGACCGACTTACTAAATAGAGCTACTTCTTCCTATATAAAGAATCATAGTCAGTAGAGCAACTTATAGATATAATCTATCGGTATATTATAGCAGTTTATAGATGGCCAGAAGAATAGATTATAGATCGAGACACCAAGTTCGTATCAAAGTTTTAGCAAGCGCTTATAAAATGTTTGGGTATAAAGAGCAAGCTTTCAATAGTATACTACCCGTAGACAGATAGCCAGATAGAAAGGCTCAACTAGATCGTCGAACAATATCTTAGAATGTTTGTCAACTTCCAGTAAGACAACTAGGTCGATCTATTGCTAGTGGCATAGCTTATATACAATATAATACTAACAGAGACAACCAAGGTTACTCTATTCTTCGCGAACTTTGGTTATAAAGCGGATTTACGCCAGGGACTAGATATTATAGTACCTAGGGCAAAAGTCAAGGTAGAAAAGATATATATACTATATACAATACTACAAGAAGAACTCGAGTTCGTTAGACTTAGGATAAAGGAGTATTATAACAAGTATTGGCTCGAGGGATCTCGCCTTAAGAGAGGAGATATAATCTACCTTATTTCCTGAAATTTGAAAATAAAACAGCTAAGCCAGAAACTCGACTTTAGGAAGATTAGACTGTTCAAAATCGACGCAAAAATTTCGATATCCAACTATCGACTTTTGTTACTATTAACGATAAAGTTATATACTAACGTCTTCTATATCTCGCTTCTCGAACTAGCACCTAAGAATATATAGGTTATAAAAGACATTGAAGCTAAGGATAAAGAAGAAGAATAGGACATTAAGGAGATCTTAGATTCGCAAATAGCCAACGGAAGGCTAGAGTACTTGATTAAATGGCTCGACTTCGGACTAGAAGACAACTTATAGGAACCGGCAGAACACCTTAACTATATAGAAAAACTAAGATAATTCTACCGGCAGAACCCAGACTGACTAGAAGGAAGGCGCAAAAATCTCCATATAAGTCGCCTTACCCTATAGTAAAGCCATTCATATAGAGACAAGGCATAGGTAGGATTCGAACCTATAATCCCCTAGAGCATATACTCAGGTGTAATAACCAAGCTATACCACTAAGCCATTTCATTTGTTGGAAAACAGGCAGCAAGAACCAGATTAAGAACCCCAAGCAGGAAAGAGCAGCTGCAGGCAGCAATACTATAGACAACACTCGTACAGCAGGCACGACTAAGACCTAGCCACCATCGGCTACAAACCCCCACTACCTTGAGAAACCGGAGGGCTCCCGCCACCAGAACCCTGTAGAGCCAGGAACAAGGGACCTCCCCCAACAATACTCCAGTCTATAGGAACGTCCGACAACCAGTTAGGATCCAAGTGATCTAATGAAGCAGGACCCAGAGCAAGGAAATCCGACAAAGAAGATAAAGCGGCAGTACCTAAAGACGCTACTGCCGTGCCATCCGAAAGCAGAGCGGCTAGGGAAGCCTGCTCCAACTCCTCCTTCTCCTCCTCGTCCAACAAACAAGACTCTCAACGGAAGGCCGTACGAGCCCTCTCCTCCAACGCCTGCAACTGTTGCTCCAAACGAAGCAATTTGCTAATCGTAGCCCGACACTCGGCATTAAGACGCTCTTTTTCCTTAATAAAAGGACACACTATAGAAGTCAGCAAGTATAGGAGCAAGAAAAGCAGCAGACTTACAATCTACACTATAGATATCGCAATTGGAACGACCTGCCTTGACATAAGAAAGGCAACGTTCGTAACGCTTATAAGCAATACACTCTAGTTTCTTCTCGTGGCAATAAGTATAAGAAGGCATAATAATATCGGTCCACATAAGGAAGCGCACCTGATCGCGACGACGGTCAGAACTCGTTCGTTTCTTTTTCTCTATATAGTCAGGTATAATAACGACGATATAGAAGGGAAGAACCTACTAGGGCAAGATATAAGGAGGATAGCCAGGACTATTGGTTATTTCAGGAACTTAGTCGTTGGGGCGTCGACCCTAGAGGAGGGGCATCGTGTTACGAATTAACCAACGGCAGGCTACAGGGCAGACGGCCGTATATAGGGACGCGGGGGCGTCCCGAGCCAATCATTTGGACAACTAGGCGGACCAGTCAGAGACAGGCAAAGGTGTTAAGGTGCCAATGTCGCTGAGCACTCTGCAAGATATAAGCGATCAGAGTAATTAGGGGCATATTACGATAAGCACCTGGGTGCTCATCCGAATCGAAGCACTAAGCACCCAAGAAGATAGCTAGTATATAGTCACTCGTTCCAGAGGACTCTAGGAGTTCTCCAGTGAGCAATACAAGCAGTAAGGTAGCCCTATATTACTGTGAAGACATTGCGACTTGCATTGTTGTGAACCTTTTGGCTTTACCGAGACCTATAGTCCGACCAGCAGATACCTTCGATCGGCGAACCCTTTCAGAGGCAGGACTGCCTGTGGTTTCGTCACAAAGACGGATAGAGAGGTCTAGTGCTAGAGAAACCTAGACCTAGTTAAATACTAGATCCACGCCTATATTATACCTTCTATAATAGGGCCTAACAACTTCGGCGATACTCTTTATATAATTATAAGGTGCAAAATTGGGCTCTACTGGACTTAGATAACAATAGCCCCTCAAAACGCGTTTATAGTATATATCTTACATATATATTATATTTGTTCTATCAACCTCGAGTTTTCCTGCTCACCATCTAATTATAGCCTATATATAGCCTATATTACATTTACTATTTCATGCTCATTTCCTCTAGTTACATTTGCTCAACTAACATGTTCGTCTAGACTTGGGAATAAGCAGGGGCTAATAATATCCTGCATATAAGGACTTTTTGTCCTCCCGCTAAAGCTAGCTCTGACCACTAAGCACACATTATCCAGGGAAATGTCAACAGGGGACGAAACTTTGGCACCATACTATAGTAGGCCCCTAGAGCATCATAGTCACACTCCGGCACGTCTGCGACCTCGGCCTCGATGCTGCAAAGCCAACAACATAGGCATCTACATAGGGGAGAGAACTGAGGGGAGGGACGCGAACCCCAGGTCCCCAAGCCCTCAGTCCATCGGGCCTAGGCACGGCTTCTAACCGAGAGAGTTATATACTACCCACGAGCGGCTATATTCATATGGTGATGCTTGTTGCGCAACGCAACGGCAACCGGGAGGAAAGGACTCTGTTCCTCGCTGTGCCTTGTTCTTACGCTCTTTATTGCTATCACTATGGCTCTTTTACGTTTCGTTCTCTTCCTAACGGCGTTCTTCGCCCTGGACCTGCGTCGCTATACTACACTCGCTCAGTACCAGCAGGACTATGCCTTCGTCAAGTCCATGGGCAAGTACTTCTGGTAAGTTCCCAGACTCTCTCAGGGGCGGCTGCTAGAGCGTTTCCACTGACCACTAGGGCTCGAAGGCAGCCAACTATGACCGATCAACCATAGGAGGTGATAGACATTGGCCCGGACTACCTGGTGGTTCTCGTATACAACTGCGCCTACATGAGGGACATCTGCAAGAACATGTACTAGTTCATAGAAACCTCCAGGGGTCGGAGACTGCACCCCCGTAGCCCCGAGCTCCCCGCTAGCACCTTTGCCTTCGACTTCAGCGGCAGGGGGGCCCGGGGCCGGGGGAAGGCCCGTAGTCTCGCGAGCTGCCCAGGCTCCTAGAGTAACACACACAAGTGCCCCGAGCCTGACCAGCGGCTTCCCATACGTCATGACAAGGAATGGTACTTCCGCGAGCTGGAGGACAGCAGCACCGTGACCAACCTCATCAAGCACCACCGCGGCAGTAATGGCCTGGTCGACAAGTACTCCAATATTCGCTACACCTGCGACGAGTTCCCTCCCGCTTCCTGGGTCGAAGGTGGTGATAGGGAGGACCACGACCAGCCGGCCAACACCCGCTGCGCTGCCATGCGCTGCAACGCCGGAGCCAAGGCGGAGCAGGACTGTAAGTGCTGCTTCTCTCGTCGTTTCCCAACACGACTTACATACTCTCCGAACGCGGCTGAACTGACCTTTCATGTTCCTAGGGCAAGCCACAGCGCACAACAGACTTTGAAGCGACCTGAAGAGGGTCATCACCACCAAGCTGAAGGTCAAGGGCTTCTCTAACAAGGACTCGGTGGCCTTCTTCAAGTTCTACCTGGACAACCGGCAGGACGGCGTGGCGGCCCGCGTGTGGACGTACGTCGCCGTCGGCAACGCCGATACCGTCGACAAGTCGAGCCCCGTCAACCAGGGCTTTAGCAAGCGGGACGTCAAGGGGTGGAACTCGACGGCCGACCCGCAGGGCCGCACGCTGTGGGACCTCAGCTTCGAGGAGCTCTGTGCCCTCATGGACGCCGGTCACGGCCACGAGCACCAGATCTCGGCCAACACGTCCCACGTTGACTGGGCCATGGCGTCCCAGACACCCGTCGAGCTGCAGAACATGGACCCCCACTTCCGCTGGGACGACGAGGACGAGGAGTATGAGGACTTCTCCAACGTGACGCGCGTCAAGCGCTACACCGAGCCCGCCCCGGCGAAGAAGGCCGCCGTCGTCCCGAAGCCCAAGCCGGCCCCTGTTCCCCGGAGCATCCCCGCGCACGTCGTCACGCCGCTGCTCAAGCGAGCCAGCTCCTCGGACATTGAGAAGGCGCGCAGCATCGTCGCCCAGGCCAAGACCGAGGCGGCTAAGCGCAACGGCGCGCGCTTTGCTCGGCCCCTCCGCAACGTGTACGGCCTTGCCCTGGGCGCCAGGAACACCAAGACACTGGCAGCCGGTAACTCTTCCCTTAACGCCGGCGTCACGCCGCTGCTGCAGATTACTCCCGAGATCGCCAAGGCGGCGGCGCTCGTGGCCGAGGCCAACGGCGTCGCGAAGTACGGAAACGTCACCAAGCGCGCCGCAGCCGCCACGGGCACGTACTAGATGTAGAACCTGGCCCGGAAGGGCACGGTTCCGTGGGGTGACGACGCGTCGTACGTGGTGTTCCGCAACGTGCTCGACTACGGCGCGGTGGGCGACGGCGTGACGGACGATACCGAGGCCATCAACCACGCTATGACGGACGGCAAGCGCTGCGGCGAGAAGTGCAACGGCTCCACCACCAAGAACGCCATCGTGTACTTCCCGCCAGGCCACTACCTCATCTCCAGCACGGTGCCCATGCCCTTCGGCACGCAGGTCATCGGCGACGCCAACGACCGCCCCACGCTGGTGGCCTCGGCCGACTTTGTCGGCTTGGGCGTCCTGTCCACGGACGAGTACACTGGCGGTCAGGGGGGCGCCGAGGAGTACTACATCAACACGACCAACTTCTACCGCCAGATCCGCAACATCGTCATCGACATCACGGGCGCCGGCGCCAATATCTCGTGCCTGCACTACCAGGTCGCGCAGGCCACCAGCATGCAGAACGTGGAGTTGATCGCCTCGACTGACGCCGCCACCAACCAGATCGGCATGTACGCCGAGAATGGCTCCGGCGGCCAGATCTCGGACGTGACCTTTACGGGCGGTGCTATCGGTCTCTATGGCGGATCTCAACAATTCACAGCTCAACGTCTTACCTTTAACGGCTGTGGTATCGGCGTGCACGTCATCTAGGACTGGGGCTGGGTGTGGAAGAGCGTGACCATGGCGAACGTCGGCATCGGCTTCAAGTTGATCTCGGACGACGGCTCCGGCAACATCGGCTCCATCAGCGTGCTGGACTCGTCCTTCACCAGCGTGGCCACCGCCGCGCTGCAGATCGCCCCGCCAAACGAGGTCCCCGGCACGGGGAGCACCAGCGTGATTCTCGAGAACGTCAAGCTGTCCGGCGTCGCGGCTGCCGTCCAGGACACGGCCGGCGAGGTCTGGCTGGACGGGTCCGCGGGTGGTACCATCACCGAGTGGACGCTCGGCCCGACGTACGAGGGCACCACCACCGCGGGCGGCAAGGTCGGCGACTACCGCCGGCACTCGACCCTGCTCGATGCCGATGGCGCGTACTTTGAGCGTGCCAAGCCGCAGTACGAGGACAAGGGTGTCTGGGACTTTGTGCACATCAAGGACATGGGCGTCACCGGTGATGGGTCTACCGACGATACCTCCGCGTTCCAGGCTGCGCTATATGCCAGCCAGGGCAAGATCCTCTTTATCTATGCCGGCTCGTACATCCTCACCTCCACCATCGTGATCCCCCCGGGCACCATAATCGTGGGCGAGACGTGGTCGCAGCTGGTGGCTTCGGGCGCCTACTTCGAGGACGCAAGCAACCCCCAGGTGCTGATATAGGTCGGCACGGTCGGCAGCGTCGGCGACGTGGAGATCCAAGACATTCTGTTCACGACCCGCGGCGCCACGGCCGGCCTGATCCTGATTGAGTGGAACATCCAGGCGGCCTCGCAGGGGTCGGCTGGCATATAGGACTGCCACGCCCGTATCGGAGGCGCCACCGGCTCCCGGCTCACGCCAACCGAGTGCCCGCCCTCGACCTCGGGCACGAACGCCGGCTGCAGCGCTGCTTCGCTGATGATGCGCCTTACATCGCTGGCGTCCGGCTACTTCGAGAACGTGTGGCTTTAGGGCGCCGACCACATGATCGATGATCCTCTTCTTGATGACTCGACCAATGATATAGAGCAGTGTTCCATCTACATCGCGCGTGGTTTCTTGATTGAGAGCACGCGTGCTACTTGGTAAGTTCAGGTTGCTCTGCTTCTTATTAGTACTTACTACTAGTAGTAGCTTAAAGAGGATGGATCGCTTTTGCTAATAATACGGGACTCAAGGCTGTACGCCACGGCATCCGAGCACGCCGTGTTCTACTAGTACAACTTCCACGGCGCTGCCAACATCTTCGCCGGCATGCTGCAGACGGAGTCGCCGTACTTCCAGCCTACGCCGCCGCCTCCCACGCCTTTCGAGGCCGTGGTCGGCGACTTCCCCGGCGACCCAGATTACACGTGCGCGGTAGGCGACGAGTTCAACGGGTGCGACGAGTCGTGGTCGACCATCATCACGGGATCCCAAAACATCTTTATCGCGGCGGCGGGTATCTACACGTGGTTCTCGACGTACGCACAGACGTGCATCGACGGTCAGGAGTGCCAGAAGGTCCTGATGAAGCTGGAGAACAACTTCGCCAGCGTGCGCACCGAGAACCTGATTACCATCGGCGCAAAGTACATGGCCGTCATGGACGGCGAAGGGATCCTGGCCGCCGATAACATGAACGGCGAGCAGCACCCCTTCTAGTCGCAGGTCACGCTGCTAGACGTCGGCAGCAACGGCACCACCAACTTCAACGAGCTGGTCTAGATCGACCCCAAGATCTAGGACATAGACGAGCCCAGCTTTACATGCCTCCCGTCCTGCCTGATTCAGCTGCCGCCTTACACGGGCACTACCAGCACCATCAACTACCCGCTGATGACGGTCAGCGACGGCACGTAGACCAGCACCGCGACCGGGCGCCCCTGACCATCTCCGAGTGGGTGCTGGAGGTGGTGACCATCACGGCGGACGGCAGCGCCGGCGGCGCCAAGAAGGGCAAGCGGGCCGCGCAGGGGTTCGCCGAGTTCACGCCCGTGGCGGCGTCGACGCCGCGGTGGCCGTCCATCAGCTACCTAGGCAACGACGGGCAGGCGACTACGGCGACGACAAGTGCACGGGGGCGGGCGACGACGACTCCGACCCGGGCGACGACGACGAGAACCTGGACGACCTGGCCGTGACGTGCCCGGCCGGCGGCCCCACCATCGTGAGCAGCACCACCACTACCACCACCACCACGTCCGCGTCAGCGATCCCGTCGCCCGTGGAGACGGGCGACCCGGCGGAGAACGTGGTCGACGGCTACGACAGCGGCGAAACCACCGAGAACGCCCGCATGCAGAGCGCTGCCGCCAGCTTCTGCAACAGCATCGCCCGCGACGACTTCGGCCCGGGCTACTTCCACGTCAGAACCCTCTCGACAACCACCATAGCCTCCCTAACGTCCTAACGAAGAGTCGACGACCGGGACGTAGAAAAGCGGACCTCGAGACTCGAGTCACCGGGGTCTTCCCCATAGACCACAGCAGCACCTAGTGCGGACCCGTACTTGGCCTCGATGGCCGGCCAGAACACATCGTCCTCCCACTGCTCGAAATCGGTAAATATATCGCCCTCCGCCACGTCCGTCAGCCTCATCTCGCAGATGCGCGAGCCGCCCCAGGCTTCCATAGTGCTGTCGACGAGTTTGGGAATCCGGTGGAAGGTCTGGTTCCAATCGTGGTATCCACAGCCGAAGACGGCGAAGGGGACGTTGTGCAGTTCGTCGGCCTTGCAGCGCTGCAGCCAGCCGCAGAACGCGGCCGCATTGTCCAGCGGCTGTCCCTCGTAGAACGCCGTAATAACAACCACAGGCCGGTCGGTGGGCAGCTTCTCGGTGGCTATGTCCAGTGGCTCGATCACAGTAGCGGCGAAGCCATGCAACGCCGCATCCATGGCGAGACGGTGGGCGAGGCTCTCGCAGGTGCCCATATTGGATCCATAGAAGATGCTTATAGGCTTTGCATCTACCTGAGCCCAGGACTTGGCCGCCGCAGGGGATAGCTGGCGGGATGTCGGCTTGGCATAAATCGGCATCGTCATCGGCTGCAGCGTCGAGGCAAGGCCCCCGTTCAAACGGTGCTCCAGCTCGGTGGCCGTCTATCCGTGCCGCAGACTAACCCACATATAGAAGTCCTTGGGCTTGATGGTAAGCGTCTGCTTGATCTACAGCTCGTAGCCGGCGTCGTGCAGCGCAAAGTCAAAGTTCTGCAGCAGCATGGCCATGACAAGCACCACCTCCTGCCACGCAAACGGCCGCCCGATGCACGCCCGCATACCGCTGCCAAACGGCTTCCAGCAGTCGGGGTACTCTCTAGTCAGGCGCTCAAAGTTCTCATCCAGCATGCGCTCCGGCACAAACGCCTGCGCCGTCTCGCCGTACACGGCCGGGTCTAGGTGCGACTAGGCGAACAGGAGTATACAGGTCTGGTCTTTGGGAATCACGTACTGGCCGCCGATGATCTCGTCTTCCCTGGCCTGCTTCCCGATCAGCGGGATCGTCGGGCAGAGCCGCAGGGTCTCGCGTAGGATGGCTTCGATGTACAGCAGCTTCTTGAGGTGCTGCGGCCAAATAGCGCCCGTGCCTACCACCCTGTCCACCTCATCCTACGCCTTGCAGTACGCTTCCAGGTGCTTGAGCAGCTAGTAGAAGGCAAAGCTCAGCAGGCCTAACGTGGTCTCGTAGCCCGCGATAAGGAAGGTGATCAGGTTGTCGATAATAGACGCATCGCTCAGCTTCTGGCCCGTCTTCGGATCCACACCGTCGAGCATAGCCGACAGCAGATCTCTGCAGTTGGACGGGTGCTTTCGCCAAGAGTCGAGCACACCCTAAGCTATCTAACGCATCAGCTCGATGTCGTCCCAGTATTAGACGTTCGCCTGGCGGTAGAAGAGCGCAGCCAGACTCGGCCGCAGCGACCGCGAGCCCGACTCGGTCAGGAAGCGGCCTATAGCCGAGATGAACGGGTGTAGCTCGTCGTGGTAGTACGAGTTGAAGCGGAAGCCCATGGTGCATAGCGCAAGCGTGTCGAGCGTCAGCCGCGTGAAGTCGTCCGTGACCATAATAGGCGCGTCCGGGCCGTGCCTCGCCCACTTGAGCGCCAGCTGCGACGCGATCTCGTGCATCTCGTCGAACATGCCCTAGATCGACGCCGGGCCAAAGGCCGGCATCAAGATCCGGTGCGCAATGCCCCAGTTGGGCTCGGGTCCGCGTGCTGTGAACAGCCCGTCGTCGACGCCGTTCCGAACCTGGGCCAGCCCGCCCATGACGGGCTTCCGGAACCGCTTCTCGTCGCAGAGTTCATGGATCAACCGCTGCGAGCTCTGTTTCCCGTAGCCGACTCAGTCCTATCACACAGAGAAGAGCTACGATGGACAACTCACCACAACGACTATTTCGCCCGAAGGAAGGGGCGATAGATTTCTCCTGATGGAAGTCAGCTAACGTATCTTATAAGCGAGCGAGACATATAAGCGAGCGAGACACTAAGTTCTTGGCACGATGCGTCCTTCTTCAACCACCCCCAACAGCGCGTTTTTCCTATAACCAAGAATGTCTTCCGCTTCAAAGGAAGCTAGGGTAATCTTGGCCCTTCAAGCTCTTCAAAATGACACGAAACTGAGCCTCCGAGCCGCGGCCAAGCTCTATAACGTACTAGTTTCAACCCTCGGCCACCGACGTACCGGCCGAGCTATACGACACGATCTTCCAGCTAACTCGCGGAAGCTTACCGATCTAGAAGAGAAGGCTCTTATTCAGTATATAATTGAGTTATCCGAGCGAGCTTTTCTACCAAGACTCCGTGGTATAGAAGATATGGCCAACCAACTGCTATATATACGCGACGCGCCCTCTGTCGGCAAGCTCTGGGCCTATAACTTCGTCAAACGCCAGCCAGCCCTCCGTATACGTTGGTCGTATCGATACGACTACCAGAGGGCTAAGTACAAGGATCTAGAGGTCATTGGCGAGTGGTTTGCACTTGTACGGAATACCAAGGCCAAGTATAGTATTATAGATGACAATATCTATAACTTCGACGAGACTGGGTTTATAATGGGCATTATCTTTATGGGCATGGTGGTTACAACCTCTGATGGCTATAGTAAGGTAAAGCTGGCCCAGCCTGGCAACCGCGAGTGGGCAACGGTGATCTAGGGAGTCAATGCTCTTAGCTGGGCCATCCCTCCGTTTATCATCTTGGCCGCATAGTACTATCTCGCTAACTGGTATACCGAGTACAACCTCCTAGCCAACTGGCGTATTGCAACTACCGACAACGGCTGGACAACTAATGCCGTAGGCCTGGATTGGATCAAGCACTTCGACTACTATACAGCGCCCTAGGCAAAGGGCAAGTACCGGCTGTTGATCCTCGACGGCCACAACAGCTACTACTCGACCGAATTCGAGCTCTATTGCCAGCAGAACAATATTATCACGCTTTGTATACCTCCGCATTCCTCGCACCTCCTCCAGCTACTCGATATTAGCTGCTTTGGGCCACTAAAGCAGGCGTACGGTCGCTAGGTTAAGGACTTGATACGCGTATATATTAACTACGTAAGCAAGCTCGAGTTCCTCTGTAGCTTCCGCAAGGCCTTCTTCCCCTCGATAACGGGGAAGAATATCCAAGGTGGCTTTGCAGGTGCTGGCCTTATACCGTACGATTAAGAGAAGGTACTATCTAAGCTGGATATAAAGCTCCGTATACTAACGCCCCTGAACTTGCAGGCTAGTATATTATAACCTTAGGTATTCTAGACGCTATATAACCCTCGAGAAGCCAACTCGCAGTCAACGCTCATCAAGACTTATATTGCCAACCATCAAAATAGCTCCCTAACTTCGATATTGGCTGCTATGGACTAGCTTACCAAGGGTACGATAGCTATAATGTACCAGGTGGCCCTCCTTCAGGCAGAGGTGTCTTTGCTCCGCAAGGCTAACGAGGCGCTAAGCAAGCGCCGGAGAGCCAAAAGAACACGCGTATAGCTTAGAGGATCGCTTGCAGTACAAGATGCAAAGGATCAACTGGACCAGAAGGCCGTGGTTGGGGAGGTGGTGCAAGAAAAGGAGCAGGATAGTGGTGGTGCAGGGGGGGCTTATACGAAGGTTCGGTGCTGTGGTGTGTGCGGCAAGCCTGGCCATAATGCCTGTACGTGCCAGGAGGTTGCAGAAGGGTCTGATTCAGCTGTCTCTGATGTAATTGTAGTTGGTTCCTAGTGTTGTTGTGTTGCAATTGAGGATAGTTGTTATAGAGTGGTGGAGAGTGTCTCGCTCGCTTATATGTCTCGCTCGCTTATAAGATACGTTATGCCCTTGTACATAAGGAAGAGACATGGGTCAGCGCACCGTACTCCTCCGCCCAGCCCTGCCACGACCGCAGCGGCATCCCCAGGTCGACGTGAAGCGCATTTCCCACCAGCGGGTAGCCCGTGGGCCCTGGTATTGGCCTTGTCGTAACGGTCATTTTGGCGCTCACAAAAGGATTTACCGTTTGTCGACCCTTGAGGCTTCTGGAATTTCTGCCACCTTTCTCGGGAAGTTCTAGCGTCTCTAGCCGCAGGACAGGCCCTTTATATTCTGCTCAACCCCTTGTCCAGCCACTCCGCTGGGCATTTCAACCTTCCGACTCATGCGCGTCCCAAGTTCCATCTCCACAAATCAAAGGGTTCGGCCAAGCACACGGGGCCATACAAAATACGAGCCGAGGCACTGCAAAACCGGGTTACGGGAACGGCGACGGGTCGTAAAACTTCGCGCGTCGGAATTCGGGATTCCGGACCTCCGCCGTGATTTGCTGGGGGGAGCTGTGGCTGAAAAGATATTTATTCGCTCATCTCTCTGTTTCACCCTCACCCATCGGGCCCAGTGTTCGTCCGCCTGCCGACTGCGACGTCAAGTCACCTCAGTAGATGTTTCTGATCTGCAATGCGTCCTTGGCGATGACGAAGAGGGCTCAGATACGTAGGTATATCATATGCTGTGTTACGTAAGTCGACCACCCCCCATTCCGCCCACTTTGTAAGTCTTGGCGTCTAAACCACCCATCTTCTTCAACACCATCTATTACAGTCTGTTCAACCCACCACAATACAGGAAGCATCTGATTCGGGGCTTTCTGGCCTGCTCTCTTCAATGCCAGACTCTTTAATACGGCCAGCCTTAATTTGAGCCCGGTGGACCTGTTCAATGGAAGCGAACTGCTTGTTCGGATCCGGGACCACCCTCTTTCTTCTCGACGGCCGGGCTGCCTCTAACTGAACCTTCAGAGCCTCGTTTTCCTGTTGCAATTGAGCCAATTGGAAGTCCTTCTCGTCAAATGCCTTCTCAACCTTCCTGAATAAAAGCCGTCGTGTAGAAAGATCTTGCCGCCGGATAGCCAGGTTGGTTAGGTGACCGCGAAGGTCTACTTTCTTGCGTGGTGTCTGGAATTCGACCTCCTGAGCCATAGTTGTGGTCTGGCTAGGTAGCCTAGATGCCGGGGTCTGTGGTAGTAGTAGTGGATTGTCTTTTCCAAGCGCCTGGTTCGAATTTTCCAACAAAAGAGGGCTTATCAGTGGTTTCGCCATACTAAGAGGCCACAACCCGGATGCCTTCCACCCAGCTTTGATATTATGAGCTGTAATTGCCTCCCTGCGAGCCTTGACGAGGCACCGCAATATCAACTGCTTGCCTAATGCCGTAGTTTCTGACCAGCTGGTTAACTGGTTGAGGAGCTTGCGGTAGGTGTGCTTCAGGGGGGAGAATACTGATAAATCCAACGGCTGGAGGACGTGGGAGGTGTGGGCTGGTAAAAAGAGTAGTTGGATATTGTTGCTGAAGCACTCCCATATAAACTCAGTGCTTGTATGGCTATCGTGGCCGTCCAGTATCAACAGACGCTTCTGGGTAGGATCTTGCGGCTGGGTCCGGGGGATGAAGACCCGTTGCAGCCATTCCAACGCAACCACCCTATTTACCCAGCCTTTTTCAGTTGCAGTGAATAGCCAGTCCTTTAGTTCGTCCTTGGCGATAGGAAACCACTGCTGTTGAACACTCTTGCCCTTGAAAATAACAGCTGGTGGGAGTGATACCCCTGTTGCAGAGACGCACTCTAAGAAGGAGGTCCACGCACGCGAACCAGGGACTTTCCGTTGCACTGCGCGTGTATGGGCACTTCCAACTACCAAGCCGTTGATACCCTGACCTTCCATAAGGCCGAATTCATCAAAGTTCCAGCGGTTAGCCGGTAAGATGTCCTTGATGGCTGGGATTTTCAGGAGTGGGAACCAGCTGCGGATAACCGAGTCAGTAGCGCCATTGATACGGGCTGAGTCGATCTTACGGCCTCGCTGGGTACGGAGGACCGGGTTCCTTCGGATAAACCGGTTGATCCAGCTCTTCCCGATAGTCTTTTCGGGTGCTCCTTGGGCCTGTAGAACCCGGCTGGCGAACTCCCGGATCTGCGCATGGGTTGGTGGGACACCTAGAGCGACCTGGGCTAAGACCCATCGCGTAAGATGATCTTCTTGTACTCGGCTAAGTGTCTGTTGCGGTTCGGCCGCAGTTGAATGGGTCTGAGTACCACGAAGGCGGTCGCGAATAGTAATTAGAGCGTGGGATGCCGAACTCACTACAGATGCTTCGCAATGACTGGCGCCCAAGACGGTATTGCTCAACTGCATCTTGTATATCTTGCTCCGAGTAAGCCATCTTGAACTGGCAATCAGTTTGATACAAAAAAAAGGCCGTTTGGCCAGAGATTGAGTGAGTTATGGTAAGTTGAAGTGGTTGGGTTGAAAAAGCGGTGTGGACCTACAAAGTGGGCGGAATGGGGGGTGGGCGGAATGAGGGGTGGTCGACTTATACGAGCACTCATTCCTGACTGGGCCGCTCGGCATTCTGTGTAGTAAGCAGCTGTCCATTCCGCAGATGAACTCTTGGCATCACGGCTTCACCCACCGAGAGATTCGGCCACACACAGCAACGCGTCGAGAGCTTCAATGTCCGACAGACGATGGTCCGTTTGCTCAGGTCTCCTTTTATAAGAGCCCGCGTTAGTGTAAGGTTGTAAAACAGGGCCCCGTCCTAGCTATCACTCTCAGGATACATTACTTGCGAGACTCCTCTGCTCTTGATGATGCTCCCACCAAATACGTCTTAGTACATACCTATGTGATGGTGAGTGCGGGCATAGCCTTACTGAATGCTTTTCGCATTCTTCCCCCGAATCAGCTCAACGAGCTTGTGGTATCAACGTAATCAGTACCTTGAAGTATGTACAATCTTCAAGTATCAAAGCTCCTGGAACTGGGTTTCGCGCTCCGCCAGTCCGTCCACGTCTCAATATGACTAAAGAATTTGTCCATGCAAGAAAGACGCATCTAGAGTAGATGCCCAACGGAAATCAAAGTAGGAGGAACCACCATAACAATCAGGTCAGCTTGGGGCGGACATAACAGAAGGGGTTCTGGAAAATCGCCATCGCTTGGGTTAGACCTGCCGGCCAGAAGGACACCGTGGCGCATAGATTCTGAACAGAGGGACAGACAGACGGTTCCCACTGGGTAAGGTGTTGCAAAAAAGAAGAAGAAGCAATCTTGCCGGCAGCATAGGACGGTTGGAGATTTTCGGGCTTGTCTAATTCATAAGTGTCTTCTTTCACCGGATAAAAATTCCGGGAGTCGAGGAACCTACTGGCCACGAGAACGCTGCCGAAGACGTTTGTATTCAATATAGCTTGAAACTGGGACCACGCACTAATTAAGTGGTGAAAGGATTGAAGAGACCGCGGGACTTGCTTGCGGCCTTGATGATGAGAAAGGAGCATAGTCCAGCTCCCATCTACCATATTGAAGGTTCCGAACTGGGCCATTGGCATCTTTTGGACGAATTCGACATATTCTTTGCACCTGTCTATCAAGCGGAATGTGTTGAGGGGGTGAGGAGATTATAATTGCCGCGATGGCGACGAAAACGCATATCTTCCCTGGAGTGAAGTCAATGAACACGCTCCAACCCCAAAGAACTTCAGGAATCCATGCAATATTCTAGGCTAAAGAGGCACCGAAAACGATGACCGAGTAAGTTCCTCGCATACGCGCTGCTGGATGTTCCCGATGTCATTGATTCCCCATTGGTTGGGTGTCACAGCACAGAGAGCGTGGATTGAGGCATGCGGAAGAGAGTGTGTTGGGTTCCCCCCTATGCAAAGGAGAAAGGGAGAGAAAAATGGCTGGGAGCCATGCGCTATATACAGCGAGGTGTGGATCCGGTGCTCGGAGAGTGCCCGGCTTGCATAATCCCAGCGCTTTGGAGCGCCCTGCCCGGTTCACTCCTTGCGACATTGGGTTATTGGTTACACTAGATAAGGTTACATCAAGCTTCCCTTTCTTCCTTCTTCTTCTCATCCGTCTCCCCCGCAACTCTCCGAGACCACAAACGCCAGATTTACTCTCAACATGGAGTTTGAAGACATCAGCTACTCCCGGGAGACAACAATCGCAGCCGTGGCCGACTTCTACACCTTCCTTACCAAGATGTATCTCGATGAGTCCCAGGTCGCCTACCCGCCGGCCGGGGGCTGGCCCGAGATTGTCAACGCTGACCCCGCCGTGTTGCGGTCCTTTGGAAAGTCGGATGAAGTCTTGGCCTTGCTCGCCCGCCTGCCATACATCCAGTACCCCTCCGGTCTCTGGGATCACGCTGCAGAGCCTACCCCTGGCCATGTCTTCATCAACTGGCCGGACCTCTTATCTATCCGTGACCCTAACGACGAGGACCCTGGTAGAACACTGCGCCTGTACACCGAGGGTGACTTTTACGACATATACCCGCCCCATGTTGTGGGTCTGGGGCGATATTACGACCAAGCGAGCTAGCTACGTCTTCCTACTCGATACCAAGCTTGGGATTATCCACTGGGGAAATTGTTCCACTCGGATTGAGAATGGGGAGTGGACGGTAAACATGATCGATAAGATCGACGTGGAGGAAGAGGCTCAGGAACGGTCTGAAGAGGAGGCAGACTGGCGCAGCTCCGCACCTGCATGGGCGATCCAGGACTTCTTCGAAGTGCTCAAAGACCAGTTCAGGAAACTCCATTGGGTCCCAATCAGCCATTACTCGGTGCGGAACGTGGCAGAGGGCGAGTACCACGGTGAAGACGGTATGATGGCGATGCTTCTGGACATATATCGGCGGCATGGCTGGCCCGACCTGACGGTCTACCGCAAGGAGGACTGTATCGTGAATGTCCTGAAGGCTATGAAGGAAAAATACCCCGGGTCTACCTGTTACCGAGAGGGGTAATCATGAGGTAGCTCATATTTTCCGCGTGGGGGTTGGGGCTTCCCTCCTTAAGATTAGTTCCAGCCAGCCACCTGTGGTTGTGCTTTAGCTTCCACGCATAACACCAAGATATGCATCACCAGTCCATTCATCCCACACTCGCGAGTTCGAAAGCTCAATCCTCCTATGTACGGATACTTCACGTACCTTAGGTTGTACTGTACTCTTGTCCAATAAGGTGGTAATCAATTGACATGCCGACGGAGTCCCACCTAGCTTTAGAGCTATAATCTACCAGTACCCAGAGCGGTTCACTTTGGTCACTCTCGGGCTACAACATTCAGGGATCATCACTCCGATTAATGTCTGAGTAGGCCTCGGCTGATGACCCTCTTTGGCGGTACAGTGCCGTACCCTCTTATACACCAATACATACATAGGTCCCCGCCTGCAATCCACGGCACTCCTGTCCTCCGACCCCCGGGTTCCACTTGATGAAGTCAGCGGTTGAGATTGGACCGTTGAAGAAGGAGATGATATCGCAGGTGTCTCCCGGGTTGACCTTGGTGAACTTCTTGCAGTAGTCCACCATGCCGGGCAGGATAGGCGTGGGCGTGGCGATGCCGTTCCCGGGCTGCGTGGGCGTGCCCCCAATGACACCGATGCAGGCGTACGTGTTTGCCTGCAGGGTCCGGCAGTCGGATCCCACGCCGGCATTCCAGCGGATCACCCATTCCGTCCCCGGCACACCGTTCCAGAAGGCGATGCTGTCACACGAATCGCCGGCGTTGACCTTGTAGAACTTGTTGCAGTTGCCCACCATGCCTGGGTGCGCCGGCGCCGGCGTTGCAATGCCGTTTCCTGGCTGCGTTGGCGTGCCTCCCGGGATAAGGCCGACGCACACGTACGTATCGGCCTGTAGGGTGCGGCACTCCCGTCCGCCCACACCTGTGTTCCACAGGACGAAGTCCTCGGTCGAGATGGGCCCGTTGAAGAAAGCGATGCCGTCGCAGCTATCGCCCGGGTTGACTTTGGTGAACTTGTTACAGTTGCTAACCATCATGCCTGGGTGCGTCGGCGACGGCGTCGCAATGCCGTTGGCGGGGAGCGTCGTGGACGGCGCCGGACTGCCTCCAAGAACGCCGACGCAGGCATACTTTGAGTGGGTGGAGAAGGTCAGCAATCCAAAGGTACCGTTACCTAGCTGTGGATAGAAGACACCTACTGTTGACGCCCAGAGACCGGAGCAGTCGCTTTTGACGGCGGGATTCCACTGGCTGAACTGCCCCGTCGAGATGGAATATAGGGCGGCAATGGTTGCGCAGTTCTGGTCTTTCTCGACGAAATGGAACTTGTTGCAGTTCCCAACCATGCCGGCCTGGATCGGCGCTGGCGTTGTCACACCATTTCCGGGCAAGGTGGTCGTGGTGGGTGGTGGAGTCGTTGTGCTGCTGGTAATCCGGGCAGTGGTTGTGGTTATGGTCGACGTAGACGACGGGACAGGTTCGTAGAACGCCTCAACGCAGTACGAGTGGCCCGCTGGAAGCGTCCCACAGGTCTCGGGGACGGATGGATTCTGGTGTAGTATCAGCACATTGTTTCCAATACTAGTACTTGCCAGACACGACAGCGGGTCCTCACCCATCTCCGAAACTGTTCCAGCGTGATGTTGTTGTCGGGAAGTAGCGTGGAGCAGGCCGTAGGCTCATTTAGATCGGCCCACCAGGTGCACCAGCCGGTAGTGTTGGGGTCAAAGCTGAGGCTGGGTTTTGACCCATCGCGGGCAACGACGCGACCTACTGCTGCACCGAGAGCCACATTGAAGACAGCGGCGCTAACGAGGAGCGAAATTGGGACAGAGGTCAACATGACGTGCTTCACCAAAATGCAGTAGTAGTCTGACGGACGGGTCGAGGGGACAACGACTTTGGACTATCCAAGAACGCCCATAGAGGCAGTTATATGCATCGCGTGGGCCTTCGAGACTGCCTTGCCGGAGCAGGCTGAGGACACCTCATGGCTCATGCCATGTAGCATCTGATTTCTATAGTAGCTTACTGGTAGTATGCTCCGGAGTCTGCTAGCTAACGCAATTGCTGACTTTTTTACTAATGCATTTCGCGTAGAATTCCCCCCCACGTCCAACAGAGCAGTTGGTGACAATACCCGAGAAGCGTAAAAAAAGGGGTCCAATCTCGAGCTCACAGTAAGCTGGCACGCCTGCCCAATTCCAGAAACTGAGCGCGGCATACCATTTCCAACCTAGGTCTGTTTGCGAGTGGCACGGTGAACAGACAGACGGACAGATGGATGAAACGATTGAGGGAGGTACGGGAAGGTCTGGTATGCAGGTTTCTTGCATGGTGGTGCTGCGGACTACGTAGTATTAGGATAAGGGAGCTGAGCAAGAAAACAAATGACTCGAAGTACTCGCACCCGATGCAACCGAATGAGGACCGGCGCGCTGTTTACAACCGGTCCAATATTAGATCATGACTCTCGTCAGGGTCCAGAGCACATCGAGGGCACATGTAGGGAGGGGGAAGAGGTTGATGACTCTGCCTCCGTACCGCTGCAGTTGATGCCCCTTATCTAGTGTAACCGTAGAAGGACCAACAGACTGCCAAGCCTTATAGTGCGCTCTGCAGAGCTCTTGTGCTCGGGACAGTGACGTCCGAACCAAAAACCGCGCAGTTTCTCATCCTTACTCGCTTCAGAGCCGAAAGTCTCATTTCCTCCGGCCGGCGGCAAACGGCACGCTTTTGGATTTTGCTGCGGACTTTTCCTCCCGATGCAGTAGGGGTACCAGGATCAATGTGCCGAGGCATCTGATGCTATTGACGTCTAGAGACAGGTTTGCAAAGAAGGGAACGGACCACGTGTGGACTAGATAGGCAGGCAGCACAGCAGCAGTGAGGGGCTTCGGCCAATGTTTACTTCACTGCTTGCTGACAGTCTGACACCGTACACCCGCGGGCCATCATGAGGTGTGTACCTTTCGGTTGCGCAGTCTATACCTAACGTGTTTACTATTACACACAGATACTACTACTAGTATGGCTGGAACTAAGAGGAGAACCGATTGAACCATCCATCATGCCGCGTTGGCGAGAACAGCCAGTCCAGCGCTCACCAAGGCCATGGCCTCCACGGTTTGGGCACGGCCCAGAAGATTAGCCTTGCTCGTTCCGGGCGTTGTCGAGGTGGTCGCACCGGCTACCGTCCCCGTCGGTGCGGTTGTCTCGGTACCAGTATGGGTCTGACTCTGAGTCTGGGTCTGAGACTGGCTCTGCGTCTGGGAATGTGCCGCAAGGTAGCAGTTGGCATGGGCTCCGGCGATCCTCTGCCACTCGTGGTCGGCCATGTGGTGCCTCCCCCAGGCAACGGGACAGCTGGTAGAGAGAATGGAGATCATGGAGCTCTTGGCCGTCCAGAATGACACGACTTCGGAAGCATAGGACGAGTAGCTTGAGAGAACGTCCGCAGGCGCGGCAGTGGTGAATCCGCACCAAAGCTTTATGTCCGACATAGTGCAGGACCGCTGCTGGTAGCCGACCGCCGTGACTAGACACGCCTTGTTCACCTCGGCAGCGTACGAGTTGATGGCGTCGAGGACGTTGCCCGTCGGCTTCGGGACGTCGAAATACTGCGTGATGTTCTCGGTGACGCACTGCCAAGGGTCTGGCGTGAGCGTTCTGCGCGGCAGGGACACCGTCGTGGTCGGAGTCGCCTGTCTTGCCGCGAGCAGCGGGTTCAGCGTGGTCGCAGGCGGCGAGTCGGCCAGGAACCTCGCAGATATGCCTGCTGCCGCGACGAGGGCAGCCAGTCCCCCAAGACAGATGTGGAAGCGCATGTTGTGCGGATGGCAACAGAGGAGAGTGAAAGGTGCAGGATGGAGATGTTGGAACTGGGAAGATGGAGAGAGGGTGAAGAACTTCGACACGGACTTTGGAGGTTGCCGTGCGGGTAGTTTGAGTGTCCGATGCGCTCTGAGCCTCTGAGGCAGCCGACATCGAGCCAGGGGTCAAAACAATGTTTGATGACACTGTAACAGTGTGTGTGTGTTTGTGTGGAATAATGCCAAGTTACCTGGTACCTAGTCGCACCCCACATAGGCCGCAATTTCTCGGCTCCTTTCCGACCCGCCAGGGGCCGCGGCTCGGCCCCTTGGCATGCAGCCGGAGCGGTTGAGCCGCCTTCTTTCGAGAGCGGGGATTTGCACGGATCTCCCCGCCCGGAGCACAGCCCTAATCTGGTAAGGCAATATGCTTAAACGTAACTTTACCGCCGCCCCATCGTGCCGCTGTCACCTCGCGCATGTACTGTAATAGTGGGGGACACTTGATGTTGGTTAAAGGCGCGGTCCGCATCCGGCGACAAGTGCTTTCTCTCCCCGCCAGCATCACACCTCGCAACAGCGCCCCCTCCCAAAAATATCAATCGGCTCATCATGCCTGACCTTGAAGACATCAGCTACTCCCGTGGCAGGACCATTGCCGCTGTAACCGACTACTACATCTTCCTCACCCGAATGTACCTGAAGGAATCCCACGTGGTCTACCCCCCTGCCGACGGCTGGCCCTCCATCGTCAACGCGGACCCGGCTGAGCTGCGCGATCTGGGCAAGTCGGACGAGGTGCTGGCGCTGATGGCCCACTTGCCCTACATCCGCTACCCTTCTGACATGGTTGGCGCCTCGGAAGACACCCCCGAGGTCACTCCGGGTAGCACTGTCGCCGACTGGTCGGACCTCATCCCGCGTCTCTCTCCTAGCCATGGGCCCCGGCGCGAGTCGGGCGAGGATCTGCGGATCCTAACGGAGGGCAGATTTCACGACATATCGCCCCCACATGTCTTCGGCCTATTTCGTAATCGTGACGAAGCTATGGTGCTCGATACCGAACTCGGTATCGTCCACTGGCAAGACTGTCATGGCAGGATCCAGTTCCGTGGCGGCAGTCGCGGCATCGAAGATGTCGAGTGGGACTTGGACGACGAGGTTCCCGAGGAAGAGGCCGACTGGCGACGCGGCGCAATAGCCTTTGAGATTTCCGACTTCTTCAAGCTGCTCAAGAACCAGTTCATCCACCTCGACTGGATTCCCATCAGTCCTTTCACCGTACGGGACGGTCACGACCGCGACTGGCCCCACGAAGAGGGCATGATGGCCATGCTAGAAGACGTCTATCGGGAACATGGTTGGGCCGACTTGACCGTCTATCGCAAGTCCGACTGCCTGAAGGCTGTGCAGAAGGCTTTGGCGGAGAAATACCCTGAATCGTGCTGTCATCACAATCCGGACGCATGATCCGGCGCTAGCCCATTTTCTCTGGACGTTAGAACGTTCTTTCTTTTTTTTTTTTTTTTTTTTTTTTTTGGTGTTGGTCCTATGCAAGAGTCACCACGTTCGTGACGTTACTCCCGAGACCGCAAATGGAGTACTAGTTCAATGGCTCGACGCATGTAAAGCTGTTGGTTCTGCGAGCCGCATGATGTATCCGAGTTTGTCACTATTGTTGTTGCCACAATACATCACGGATGTACCTGCTTACACTACGAGGTACACCTTGCCCGGCGCCTACCTAGGCAAGATACACTCGCACATACCCTGCGAGCACATGCAGACCATGGACGGTAGCATCTTCTGGCCCCAATATGTCTCCACTGGACAGCCCCTGTTGCTGCAGGTACCCTCTCCGGTTAACCATACTTTGGGCCCTTGAACGTGGACGGCTGCCTTGGGCGTGGGATCGCGAGATGTCGTACCAGTCGTTTTCTACTCAATAGTCCTTCCACTCGACGCATTTCCTGCGTGCCACATCGGCCTCCAAACCTCCTCTAGTCCTTCTGTTTCCGTCGTCCTGTCCCTCGGCCCTTATGGTAGCTGAGGATGAAGCCAGTATACGTCTTTCTCCTGTCAGCGGCCGCTGGGGTAGTGCACGGGGCGGTCGACCTTGACGGTTCCAGGGTCGTGCAGCCGCTTGCAGATGGCGACCCTTCACCCATTGCCGATACACTCACCTACATGCCGGAGCAACACGACTGTCCTTTGCCATGCGATGTCGACTACGCAAACGTTCACAAATGGACTCCTTACTACTCGGTCAGCCGTCTCTATCGCTGTGAGCGGCCGATGCTTTTGCATTTCTCGGTTCTGCTTCCTCTGGATGACCCAAGAACCGACGTCCTCATACGGGGTTGTACACTGGACAGAGATCCCGCTTCTACTAGCGACCGGAGCATTACAAACGCTTCTTCTATGCCAATCGACAATCCCAAATTGGGAACCGGCCTGTTCCAAGCCAGCATAAACGTTGCGCCGGCATGTGCCATCGAGGGCAGGGAAACCAGCGGGGAGCTGGTGTTTAGGGCCAGCGGCGGCAGGGCATCTGACCAAGAAGCACTGGCCCTTTTGGACGGCATGAAGGACTTCTTCAACACGACAGACAACTGTGACGAGACATTTCTCTTCGCATACCACAAACAGACGGTTGCCGGCATGCACATTGGCGCCGGCCTGGGCAAGCGAACCGTGGCGTCTGTGCTCCAGGTTGTCGCCGGCCGGCTTCGAGCGGGCGATTCGGTGGCCAATCAAACCGTTGCCGAGATCTGCGGCGGCGGAAGGGGAGCCGAGACTGTGTTCGGTCTCTCTGTCGACACCACTGGCGACATCGCGGCTGTTCAGAGAACCGTAGTCGCCTGGAGTCGGGGTGACTGCGCCGACGGCAATGCCCATGGGCCTCCTCAGCCGCATGAGACGCTTGCCGTCAAGGTCTTCGATATTGCTTCTACGCCCCTGACAGACGACGACGAGTCCGTCATCCGTGGCACCAACACCACCACCGCCAACACCGCCAACACTACATCACCAGCCCTAGTCCATCCACGGAACTGGAGCGCCAACCACGCTTGGCAGCGAGCAGCTGCGCTTGGAAAGCGTGCAACGTGCGCCTACATCCGAGTCGAGGCCGGCGACGGCTGTGCCTCTCTTACCGCCAAATGCGGGATTCGGGGCGCCGACTTTGCCAAGTACAACCCCAAACCTAATCTATGCTCCAGCCTCCAGGCTGGAGACTACGTCTGTTGCTCTGGGGGCGATCCCTACACGGAGCCCAAGCCCGAGGCCCCAAAGCCCAACCCCGACGGGTCTTGCGCAGTCCACTTCATCCAGAACACCGACACATGCGAGCTGCTGGGCAAGCGATTTGGGTTGACCGAGGCCCAGATCGAGTCCTTCAACAAAGGCAAGACCTGGGGCTGGACCGAGTGCAGAACTATGCTCGCCGGGTACAACATGTGCCTTAGCACCGGATCCGCGCCGCTCCCCCCTCCGCAACAGGGCACGCAGTGTGGGCCGCTGGTCCCAGGCACCCAGTGGACCAACACCTCGATCCCCATGACGGACCTCAACCCGTGTCCGCTCAGGGCCTGCTGCAGCAACTGGGGTCACTGCGGCCCCTTTCCCGCGCACTGCGACATTCACGCGCCCCCTGGCGGTGGGCCCGGGGTGAAACTCCCGGGCTTCGACAGCACCTGCGTCTCGAGCTGCGGCAACGAGATCAAGCAAAACTCCGGGCCACCGGCCACCTTTTCGCGCATCGGCTATTACGAATCGTGGAATATGAACCGGGATTGCCTGTGGCTCAAGGCCGAGAACGCGAATGCCGACTGGTCCTACACCCACATCCACTGGGGCTTTGCCGAGATCGACCCAGCGACCTGGACAGTCGTCCTGAAAGACCCCCACAACCAGTGGCAGTCTTTCAAGAATCTCCCTCTTGTGAAGAGAATTGTCTCGTTTGGCGGTTGGGCCTACTCCACGGAGCCTGCGACCTACAACATTATTCGACAAGCTATTATCGCTAATCGTGAGACGTTTGCAACGAATGTAGCCAAATTTGTCATGGACGAGGGTATCGATGGTGTTGATATCGACTGGGAATATCCGGGGGTAAGTTGACTGCATTGGTCCAACGGTTTTCCCTCTCTCCTTCTGTCCCTGCTCCCTTTCCTCTTTCCCAATCCGCGAAGATAAACCTGAAGTCCGCGGCTCTGGTCCGATACGAGACAAACAACAAACTAACACGCTTCAGGCCCCCGACATCTACGTGGACGGGGTGCCCATTGGTCAGCAGGGCGACGGCGTAACCTATCTCCGGTTCTTGACGGCCCTCAAGAGCAAGCTCCCAAACAAGTCCGTCTCCATCGCGGCGCCAGCGTCGTACTGGTATCTGAAGGCCTTTCCCATCGACCGCATTGCTGCCGTGATTGACTACATTGTATACATGTGAGTAAGCCCGGCGTGTTTGCTTCATCCTCTATCCTTCCGGCCTTGGGACTAAGTCTCCCATGCTCGCCGCAGGACCTACGATCTCCACGGCCAGTGGGATTACGGCAATCCGAACGCGTACGACTCTTGCCCGTCTGGCAAATGCATCAGAAGCCACGGTAGGGTCCTGTGCTGTCTGGTAAAAAAGGGTGTTGGCGATAATACCGGGAACTGACCCTGACGCCCTTTTCTTTACTAGTGAACCTCACGGAAACTAGGAACACTCTTTCGCTAAGTGCGTCTGGACGTACCAACTAGCCCTGTCAACGGAGTCTCGGGCGCTAACCTTCGAAACAATTGTTTTACAGTTACGAAAGCCGGAGTGCCCAACAACAAGATCTTTGTCGGCGAGGCGAGCTACGGCAGGTCCTTCCACATGGCTGTTGAGGGCTGCTGGGGACCCATGTGTGACTTTACGGGCACCCGACTCCAGTCAGACGCGAAGCCAGGAAGGTGTACCAACTCGCCGGGATATATGGCATACGCCGAAATCAACGAGCTTATCCGCAGCGGAGCGGGGCAGGTTGTGCATGACCACGATTCCAACACCGATGTTCTGTTATACGAAGGTTTACAATCTCGCTCTGCTCTTTCTCTCGTACCCCAAGTCAGCATCTCTTGACCAGTTGTCATGCAGCTCAGCCTCCAAAGATCCCAACTCTCCCTTTGACCGTTCGTCTGACGCAACACGCTAACGCGGTCTGGGGCCAGGCGACTACATCAGTTACATGACGCCAACAACGATGAGGACGCGGCAGGCCGACTGGAAGAAGCTCAACTTTGCGGGCACAATCGACTGGGCCATCGACCTGCAGGCCTTTGGCCAAGAAGATTTCGACGTGCCGGCCACCGTACCGCCAGCCGGGGAAGAGGCCTGTATCGCGGGGGAAAGCCCTGATCTGAATGCCGACTCGCTCTGTCAGTTTGCTTGTGCCTACGGCGTCTGTCCGGAACCAACGTGCATATGCACTCTGACCGGGCCTGCCATGGCGCTCCCGGCCGTGGCGTCGAACCAGGAGTTCATGGCCTGGGACGAGCTGAACGTGGATCTCCAGCGTCTCTGCAAGTTTGCCTGCAAGTACGGCTACTGTCCGCCAGACGCGTGCACCACTCCGGTCGTGGATGAGTATGAGGACGGGTCTGTCGACTCCAGCCTCGACCTGGGCGGCATGATGGACAGGGGCAAGTACAACGACCTGCAAGATCAGTGCATGCTCTTCAAGTACCCGCAGTACCGGGATCCGGAGAACTGCCTTGCTGAATGCATAGACGAAGTCGAAGCAGCCAAGGCCGAGGGCCGGACCACCAACTATGGCTGCGTCGGCAACTTCCCGCTTGACAAGGATCTTCCGTGGACACTGTACCCTGGAAGTCAGGATCCTGACAATGTCTATGTGCCGGGGAAGTGTGTATGCGACAACATGCTCGTCAACTTCATTGCCGATACCATTATCGACGCCCTCCCCATCATTGCCCAGGTATGTCAATCCCTATTTCGCGTCTGGATACCCGAAGAAGGAGCATGGCATTTCTCTAACGCCAAAGCCGTACTAGATTGGCTGTTACGTCGTGATGTCAACATTCAAGTTGATCCTCGACGTAGGGTTGGAAGCGATTCCGGGTGCAGGCAAGATTCTGGACGCCGGGTTAGGTAGGTGTACTATGCATATGCCCCTCCCCCTTCCGACCCAATACTTACCATTAGAACTCGTTTTGACGTCCCTTGTGAGTAGATGCCGTGGCCACAGCTGCCCAACTGCTCTCTTACGCATATCCACCCGACCAGGATCCCGTCGGAGCTTTCTCGTGGTGGCTCAGCCCCTGTGGAGGAGATGACCTGGTCCCGGACGAGATCAAGCAGGTCTTCGACACGCTTAGCTCCCTCGCCGATGGCGTGTCCAGCTTTGAGGTACCCAAGAACATTCCGAAGGGCAGCGGGAAAAAAGGAGACGCCGCGAACCCTACCGATCGTTCCAAGCCCAAAGCGGGTACCGGCACGGGCCCCAACGGCACGGGCAGCGGCGCAGTCAGGAAGAAGAAGAAGTGTCGCGTTCCACCTAAGCAGTCCACCATCATCCTGGGCGAAGCAAAGAACACCCTTCGCTTGCAGTCGTGTGTTACCGATTCCAACGGTGACGCTTCGACGACCAAGGACGACTACATCGTCACGTCGTTGACTTTTGGCCCGACCCCGACGACCGTGGAGAAGGTCTGCAGCAAAGCGTGGACCCAAGCTTGCTATCATTACAGTTCGGCCATCGCCCAGAACAGCGCATGGGATTCGCTCAAGTGCGTGCATGGGAGCGTCGTGGCGCCGGAAGCAACGTACCGTCCTGGGCCTGATAAGTGGTACAGACAACACCACGAAAGTTGGAGGAAAGGGAAGGCTGCTGAAGCTTTGCGCGACCATCGTGCATGCCAGGTCGACGAATGGCCACCACGCTACTTCCTTCAAAAGGGCGTCAGTGATGAGTTGAAAAAGGCCGGGGAAAAGGGCGGCCAGCTCATGCGCTACCTGCCGGCCAAGGAGAACGGGCTCGCTGGGGGGACGTTCAAGAGCGTTTGCTTCAAACCCCACATCGAATCATGGACGCCCGCCGAGTTCAAGAAAAGGTGGGATGCAGTGCCCCTCGTCAAAAAGGTCCCGGCGGATGACAAGAAAGTCAACAGCCTGGCCACCTCGCTGCAGGTCGACGTGACGCCCTACTTCCGCTTCTCCAAGTTTGAGCATGCTGCCAACCCTCTGCGGGACGCTGGCATGTGGGACAACCCGTGCTGGCCCAAGAGGGGGGCGTCCAAAGACCCGGGATTCACGCTCTGGCACAATGATGAGTGGTACACGACGCACACGCCCAATCCCCGGTACGATTTCTCAAAGCCGTATCAGAAGGGGGGTCCGAACGGAGACTAGTTGCCATCGCTACTGGCACATTCTGCGACCGCAGGATCCTGGTGCGGAGGACGAAGGGGGTAGAGTGAGGAGCTTGCTTGAATAGCTTATCCAGGACGTGGGACAGCAATATATATATATATATATATATATATATATATATATATACTAGGTAGTAACGATGTTCTCTGCTCCACGAACACAAATACTCCCAACCTTAGACGGCGCCATCGGCCGCCTTTGGTAAGGCATCTTGCCCGTGCTCGACTCGACAGGGTTAACCTCACCGTAACACACGCAGCACCCTGTTTGGTCATATATTACGCACCCTTTTCATCAACACCCAAGACGCCGCTAATGTACCGTCTCTTCTTCCCGCCGTTAATATCGAACACAGAATCATCCCAGCGGCAGGATTATGGATCAGATAGTAGGTGCTGAGGCTGGGACGTGTATGTTAGGCTGCAACTGGTTAAGTGAAGTAGTACTACTGTACTATCTCGCGGTATTGGCGGAATACAGCGCTGTCCTGAAGTGGTAGGAAAGCAGGCAATGTCTAAAATTGTTATCCAGAGACTATAATACACATTACTGCAGATATTTCGCAAGAAACGCCACCTGCACCCTGATAGTCTCATCGAACCTGTCGTCCACATGGAGCACATCCATATGGCCCTTCTCAGGCACCACATACAACTCCTTTGGCCCGGTAAGGCGGCTGTAGATAACACCATACTTCCGCTTCACATACGGTAGCTCTTCGTGCTCCACCGTGAGCTGCAGCACCGGCGTCGGCGCGACAAACGGCAACAGGTCCTCAAACGGCCAGGCCATCATGTTATACAACCCGCGAACCGGGATCTGGTTGCTGAACCCCGGAATGCGCTCAAACGTACTCACCGCATCGTCCAGACTCATCTTCTCAGTGCCCCGGAACAGCCGATAGTCATAGACAGTCCCATCCTCGTCCCCCAGCCCAACAAGCGGCATGCACAGCGGCGGATTTCCCCTCGCACGCGATTCGTTGTCGCGCATCGCGAGCGCGAGCAACCGGTCCCGCTTGTCCCGGTCCTCCAAGTCCAGCGGCACAGCCGGACAGACGGCGACGACGGCTCTGACGCGCCGGTCCAGCGCGGCAGCAGCTAGCGCGCAGGCACCGGAGAAAGAGATGTCTGCTCTCGAAAGGCCCCGCAAACAGATTTAATTGACCACATCCGTTCGGCAAATGGTCGTTCCCCTACAGTTAACTTCGACCCGAGAACTCGAAAACAAAGACACTTCTATGGTACATTATTCATTGTAGACGTCTCTAATATTATGCCCGAGCACCTGTTTCATCCCCACCCAGGCCTCCCTCGTCTATAACCCGAGCTTAAGTCTAGTAATAATGAACCGTCCTGTCCGGCAGCGTGTACCCAATCATGATAAAGTCCTTCCAGACGGCCGTGTCATTCCGCGCCATCTCGATCTCGGGGACGGTGCAGGTCTGAAACATATCCCAGAAGTAGCATTCCACCGGTGGGTGGGAAGGTTCGTCGTTCATGATGCCCGACACATCGTCCGGCCCAGTGGTGGAGTAGGCCTTTCCATTGCACTCGGCGGTCGAGACCTTCCCGGTTGCGACGTCCTTGTTGAACATGACTCTCCTGAAGATCTCGTAGGCGGTCTCAGGTTGATACCATGGGACTGGACAAGGTTAGCCAAAGGATTGCATTGTCCTAAGCTGGAATCATTGGCTGGACTCACCTTCATGTCCGGCTCCGAAGACGCGGGAAAAGGACAGGTTGCCGTACTGTCGAACGAGGCCACTGGCGTAGTTCTTGTTCGTCTGGAGGTTGGCGTAGCCAGCGCGGTGGAAGCTGTCGCTGATCTTGGATTCGATGGCGAGGCTGACTTGTTCACCCCCGTACCCTGTTTGAGAATTGAGATTAGCCGAAGCTTCGGCCGCAGGAGGAGTGTAGAGGGCGGATAAGCAACTTACAGTTGCATTGGTAGTCGCGGTCCCCGTACATCAGAGCCACCTTCACCCCCTAGTCGAGCAACTCGCCGAGGATCTCAACATTCCTACCCAGCACGAAGTCGCCAGTCCCAGTGAATGCTACGTCTTGTCAGAATGAACCCCCTCAACATAAACGGTGCCGGTAATCATACCATCACTCGCTGCCTTGGAGAGACCCATGATATTGAGCGGCACGCCCAGCTCAAGTTGAACCTCTTTTGAGTTGAGGTAGCCACCGGCCCACTTATGCGGGAAAGACCCCAGGACCATGGCCGTGATATCGAACACATCTCTGGCTCCCACTAGAGAGACGGGTCCGTCTCGATTAGTCATCCCAATTGATTATGTCAGCCCCCAAAATTACCCCGCGCTCGCCCCCCTGAACTGCGTGCCCCTGAACTGCGTTGCGCGCCCCTGAATGCCATCACCACTGCTACCAACGCTATTGCAATGGCTACCTTTCCAGACGACTGCCTGCCCCCCGAAGGCCATTTCGCGTCTCGACAGGCCTTATTCGAAGCCATCAATCTATGGGCCAAGCCAAGGGGCTATGCCTTCGTCACCCAAAGATCCACGAAGGAGAAGAATGGCACTTCGACAGTGATCTACGCATGCGATCGATCTCGTCAGCCCCTAAGCGGCTCGTTGGAGCGCCAGAGAAGAACAATAACGCGAAGGACGAATTGCCTTTTCTCTATACTAGCAAAAGAGACAGCTGACGGTAGCTGGGCTCTCAAGTATCGCTCTGATTATCGCTTTGCTGGGCATAACCACGAACCAAGCCAACACCCATCCGCCTATCCAGTCCATCGACAACTCTCTAGAGGTATATCGCAACTTGCAAGCTTCTCGAATGCTGGCCTTGCGCCAAAGGAGATCTAGACTCTTGTACGGCAAAATAGCTCGCTAGCTATACGGCAAGATATCTATAATTGGGTTATAGAGATTCGTTGGGATATATACGAAGGCTAGAGTCTAATTTAAGCGCTTGCTAACTAGCTCGATAAGGAAGGTTTTTGGAGCCGAATCTAGTTTACAGAGGATAGCCGAGTTACTACAGTCCTATTTGCTTATCCTAATTCTCTCGCCTACCTCTAAGCGTATCCTAAACTCCTCCTTCTCGACTATACGTATAAGACGAATAAATACAGTATGCCTTTTCTCGATATGATTGGCGTTGATATAGCATAACGATCTTTTTGTATTGCATTTGCATTCTTAAGTGGCAAGATAGAAGAAGACTATCTCTAGGTACTTAAGCGGTTAAAGGCACTATACAAGCAATGCAATGTATCTCTCCTATCTATTATTCTTATAGACCGCTGCCTTGCAGTGATGAATATAGCCTTAGCCCTCTTCCCTTTAGCTATAACACTTATCTATATTTGGCATGCGAATAAGGCAGTCCTTATACAATGCTAGCTAGCATTTCCAGAGGCTGAGGCATAGAAGGAGTTCTATCGCTTCTGGCACTCGATTATTAACTCGTCAACTTAAGAGGCCTATGCTAAACAGCTTGCCGAGATGCAGAAGAAATATATTCCCTAGCATCTTAAGGAGGTTGGATATATCAAGACTACTTGGCTTATTCTATTTAAGGAGAAGCTTGTTAGGGCTTAGGTTGACCAGTCGACTTATTTTGGCAATATAGCTACCTCATAAGTTGAAGGGATTCATATGCTCCTTAAGTCGTATTTAAAGAGGTCGACATTCGATCTTTTTAAGGCCTAGAAGGCTATCCAACTTGCTCTCTAAAACTAACTCTCTGAGTTATAAGTATACCAGGCGAAGCAACAAATCCGAACTCCTCTTGAGCTTTCAGGGGCTTTATTTGGAGCTGTTCGAGGCTAGGTATTATACGAGGCAATAAGGAAGGTAGAGGAACAATAGAAGTTGCTTGCAAGGACCGACCCTCCCCCCTCTCCTATTTGTACAGGCACCTTCTCTCGAGTGTATAGGCTACCATGCTTATATGTGCTTGAGAGTCTGCAAGGCGAGGCTCTTCTTCTTAACCACTTCCACCTGCACTGGCATTTGACGCGCGAGGGAGCCCCGCAACTACTCCTTGAGCCTCGCCAGCTTATTGAGCCAGTTCGGGCTCGAAGCTCACTCCTACAGTCAAGTACTAAACGGGAGCCCAGTCAATTTGAAGTGGTTGAGGCGGCCCAGGCCCAGTCCCGTCGGGCCCCAACCACGTGTTCGAAGTGCCACGCAGTTGGCCATATAAGGTCCTCGAGGGCATGCCCTTTGCGGTATTCAAATGTACTGTAGTTAGGTAGCCAGAGTAGTGCTTGGTGGTGTAATTCAGGGGCGCGCAACGCAGTTCAGGGGCACGCAGTTCAGGGGCGAGCGCGGGGTAATTTTTGGGGCTGACATAATCAATTGGGATGACTAATCGAGACGGACCCGTCTCTCTAGTGGGAGCCCACATCTCTCTGTGGTTGTGTCAGCAATAAGAACGTACGCCGGAAGCAGCAATCGCAAGAACGCACCCCTCTATCCTGCACGCCAGTCCACATTGTGCCGAAGCAGAACTAAAAAGCACCGCTGCAGGCCTTGTTGACCTCGTCGACATTGCCCAACCCCGTTGGATCCTGTGCTGCCGCAAGGGCCCGGCAGGCCTCGACGCGCTGGCGACACGCGGGGAAGCTGTTCACCCGCGCGTTATACTCGGTCTCATTGATCGTCTGCACTCCGTATGTGTTGTTGTGCGCCATGCGCGGATACGAGGGCATTTGCGTGAGAATGTCGAGGCAGCCGTTGACGATGCCCACGGTGTCGAGCCGGAGGGGAACGGCGCCGTCCCCGAGGGTTCCATCTGCGATCTTCTGGTTTTGCTTGGTGAAGAAGTCGGCGAAGGGTTGGCCATAGTGCCCGCCATACGACTCGGACCAGATGCTGAATTTGTTGTCTCTGGGCTTGTACTTGGGGAATCTGGAGGTGGACGGGTTAGCATGGGTCACTCAGTAATAGAGAATGGAGAAGTCTTACTCCTGCATCCAGATCTACATAAAGTGCCACGCGGCAAGGGCGGCTGTAGCAGTGGTATTTGCGGTCGATAAGATGTCTTGAGAAGGAAAAACGCCAAGGAGGGTGGTCGTATTCAGCTCGGGAGCCGGGGACGACTGAAGGCAACCGCCAGCAAGCCGTGGAAGGAAGATGACACTAAGGTTGTTCTATATATAACCAACTGTAAAACGGCCAATATAACCAAGCGATATCCAAATCTAGAGGTTGATTGGAAATATATTTCGAAACAACTCTAGGAATAGAGCAAGTTTCTCGTCGACGGTAAGAAGATAACCGTTACAGTGACGTTCTACTACTAGAGTGTAGATGCTGGAAAGACCGGCAGAGGTAGGGCAACGGCCAATTAACAAGTAGACTTGGAAGCCAGAACTGTTAGTCTTGAACAAGGGGCATGTATCAAGAAGGCATATCTCCTTATACATTGTCCAGGGCCGCCGTATATAAAAGCCTCTAACCATTGCTAACAGAACAACAGAAAACATTAAGTTATCCCCTTTAGCCTTATTATATTAGGATGCTTGCCGACTATATACAGGAAGGAAAGCCGTTGAATAGGCACAATAATATCCTAGAAGAATTTCGCTGTATGGTCCGGGATGCAGAACGCAAGCGCGAGGAGAGAGTATAGAAAGAGCAGGACAAGACACGCAAGAGGAGGCAACGAGATTCGAATAGCTCCACTACTAGTAGCATGGCCAATCTATGTCTTCAATATATAACCAGAAACGGCATCACACCCAGCATTCCACACTCTCCCAGCCTTGTTTTCCCAACGTCTCCCTTGATACGGCTCGACCTACTTAGGGAAGACGCAGTTAGGGAATACAATACTTGGCATCAAGGTCAGGTCGGCACCAAAGAACAAAAAAACATTACAATACAGCTCGAGAATTGGCGCTAAAAGAATATTACAATCTCAACATCCTTACAACCAACAAGAAGAAGATGCATCGTTTCTACCTCAATCACGGAAGACTAGATGGGGTTGCATAGTATTTTGTTAGTAGTGTTAGGGAATTTTTAGAGGATCGCGCGAAAAGAGCACGGTTTTAGGCATATAATAGAATAGTTTCAGAGAAGATTGTATTTCCATTCTAATATTCACTCTACTAATCTATCGATGTATATCTATGCTATTCTAAAGTGGCTTTTGACAATCTTCTTATCCTATCTAACGATTCTAATTTACATCTAGAGGTATTCTTTAAAGTCAGCCTATATAAGATCAGCATTCTATCGAGCTATCTTCCTAATACAGTTCTTGAGGGAGCTGAAGAACGGCTCGTGTCACGGATCAGTAGGTGCAAGCCAGGCGTAAAGCTCTGGTGGGCAACTGACTGTATTGCAAGAATACTGAACTTGCAGGAGGAAAGGAATCCTCGAAGGCTGCCAAGGTGCGAAGAAGTCTAAATACAGGATGTGGGGCACATGCCCAGATGTGGAAGGTAGGGCACCAACTAGGTCGACCAATCATGCATGCATGCACCGGAAGCTAGGCACATGACTCAGCAATGGCCTGTGCCATGGTACGGTGGGTTCCACCGTCACACGAATCTACCAAGGTTGTATTTATCTCGGACTGTATGCGGCTGAGCTATACTAATGGGAGAGGTTGTGACGCTGCAGAAAAGGAACGACGCCAAAGACTTACTCTTACTCTATTGATCTTCTTTACGTCTTTTGAGGCAGTTGGTGGAAGATTTGTCCTATTCCAGATGCCTGGTGCGGCGCGCGGCGCTCCAGACGTCATCGACGTCATGAGAGGCGATTCGGCGTCCCCAGGAGTGGGATATCGCCGCCCCCAGCGCAAGAGGGTGAAAACGACAAGGGCGATAGAATCGATACAGCAACAAAACGATATGGACTAGGAGGAAGAAAACAGTAGCGAAAGGATGTTGAGAAACCACAAAACCCGTACAATTCGGGCCGCAGCGGCCGAGAGCGTAGGAGAGGGAATCCAGGACCAGGAGCAACCCGCGGACTGCAACTTCGACAACAAATTGGATATCATCAAGAAAGAATTTCAGCTTTAATTCGAAAAGCTCAGGGATCATATGGTAGAATAAATGGCCAGAATGACGGCCCAATTGACCGAAGAACTATCGCAGGCGCAAGAGCAACTTACCCAAGCCCGCCGCAAGCTCGAGGACACTAGACTGCAGCTCCACGCTATGAACGAGGCTCAGGAGGCCCCCCTAACTCGGCCTACATACGCAGACGTCGCCCGATATACACCTCCTACCAGCGCTCCTAGTCTGGCATCCTCCGGAAGTCGGACGACGACGCCAGAGCCAGTATTCTGTACGGTAGACGTGACTAAGGTACTAGAGGAATATATCGAAGAGGCTACACCGGTGGCCTTTCGCAAGCTTATCGAGAACGAGATGCAAGTGCCGGGAGACCAACCCAAATGGCGGTGCCTTGCCGTCACCAGAGACAGAGGAAACATCAACCGCCTTAGAGTCATCGGCAGGAACGAAGTGGAAGTAAAGAAAATCAAGGATATCATTGAAGCGAAGAAGGCGCCGGGTGCATAGGTTCTACAGGACCAGCTATACCCAGTCAAAGTTGACAACGTCAACCGTACGGCGGTTCTCGACCCCGAAGGCAAGGTCCTCCCAGGAGCTACGGAAACCCTAGGCCGAGAGAACGATGTGCAAGTCGCTAAGTTGGCTTGGTTAAGCCAGAGGGATACTGCAAAAGCGTATGGATCGATGGTGGTATATATCACCAAAGCTGGCGACGCTAAGAGGCTTATCAATAAGGGCTTCTTCTACACAAGAGGCGAATCGGGATATATAGGGGTCTTCGAACATCGGACACGGCCGGACCAGTGCTATAACTGCCAGCAGGTCGGCTATAAAGCTTTTTAGTGTAGGAACCCTTAGGTATATAGAAGGTGCACCAACGAGGGCCACCGTTATAGCGAGTGCTCAGCGGCTATACCAAAGTACGCCCTGTATAAAGGACCCCGCAAATTGTTCAGCAAGAATTGCCGGAAGCTCTATCCGTCTTGTCATAAGTAGAATGTTTCGGCTTATCCAGTTGAATGTCAGGAAGCAAGGGGAGGTATATAATAGCTTGATAAACAACGTAGTAATCCAGGACGCTACCGTTATAGCCATTTAGGAACCCTAGGCGCAGAGGATCTAAGGACGGCTCCTGACAACCCCTATAGGTTATTATAAATGGACCAAGATAGTCCCGTACATATAGAAGGAAGGTAGATAGGCTATCTAGAGCATGTTCTGGGTGAATAAAACCGTAGAAGCCGAGCAGGTAGCAGTAGACTTGCCGGATATCACGGCTGCAGTTATACGGCTCCCGGAGCGCATAGTCCTGGTTGCGTCGGTCTATATACCGGGTGGGGATACCAAGGCACTAAAGGACGCCTACGAGAACCTCCGCAAAGTGGTCGCAAAAACAAAGCGGGGTATAGGGACAACAGTCGATATAGTAGTTATAGGAGATTTCAACTGCCACGACCAACTATGGGGAGGAAACAACGTCTTAACCGTAAGACAAGGGGAAGCTAACCCTATTATCGACCTTATAAACAAGCTAACCCTGAGCATTCTACTCCTAAGGGGCACAATAATATGGTAAGCAGGTGGATACAACTCAACTATTGATCTGGTCCTGGCCTCGGAAGAACTAAGAGAAGCCGTGATCAAGTACAGCGTCTATAGAACGGAACATAGTTCAGATCACCATACGATCGAAACAGTCTTCGATATTAAAGTACCTATACCGACACACCATAAGCGATTGCTTCTCAAAAACGCGCTATGGAAAGACATCAGGGCCAAAATTGCAAACATACTAGGGGACACCCCAGCGAAGGGGACGGTCCAGCAGAGAACGGACCGCCTGATGTCCGCTGTCTCGGGCGCAGTATATTCCCTTACTCCCAAAGCCCGGCCATCGCCATACGCAAAGCGATAGTGGACCTCAGACCTAACGCAGCTACGGCATATCTACACGTACTGGAGGAACCGCGCTCGCTCGGAACGCCAGGCAGGCTGGAATACAGTCGAGATCGAGGAATTCGCAAAGGGCGCGGCAAAACAATACCACGATGCCATCCGGCAATAGAAGAAGAAGCACTAGAGCGAGTTCCTTGCGGACAACGACAATATTTGGAAGGCTGCAAAGTATCTAAAATCCGGAGATAACAATACGTTTGGAAGGATCCCGTAACTTGTTAGAGCAGATAGGACATGTACGGCCGACTATAGGGAGCAGGCCGAAGAGCTCCTAACAAGGTTCTTTCCTGCCTTGCCCAATACGATCGACGATGAAGGTCAGAGACTATAGAGGGCACCTATCATGATGCATATCCTCACAATAGGGGAAGTCGAGCGGCAGCTATTCGCAGCGAAGTCCTGGAAGGCACCAGGGGAGGACAGCCTGCCGGCTATGGTCTGGAAGGAAGTCTGGCAATTGGTCAAGCACCATGTACTGGCATTCTTCCGTGCCTCGCTCGAGGATGCGGCCCTTCCCAGCCAGTGGCGCCATGCTAAGATCATCCCGCTCAAGAAACCGGGCAAAGAGGACTATACCGTCGCAAAGATATAGAGACCAATCTCGCTCTTAGCAACGCTAGGCAAAGTACTAGAGTCGGTGATCGCGGAACGGCTGTCCTACGCCATAGAGACCTACGGCCTCCTGCCCACGAGCCATTTCGGCGTACGGAAGCAACGGTCAGCGGAGCAAGCGCTGGTATTTCTACAAGAGCAGATCTACACAGCCTGGAGAGGACGGAAAATTATCAGCCTTATTAGCTTCGATATCAAGGGAGCCTACAACGGAGTCTGCAAGGAACAGCTAGTGCAGAGGCTAAGGGCGCGCGGTATCCTGGAGGAGCTATGCCGATGGACCGAAGCTTTCTGCTCTGACCGTACGGCCTCTATCCAGATCAACAGGCATACTGCGGAACGATAGGATCTCCTATAGGCCGGCCTGTCCCAAGGCTTACCCCTCTCCCCTATCTTGTTCCTTTTTTTTAACGCGGATCTAGTCCAGCAGAAGATCGATAGCAACGGTAGTACGTTAGCGTTTGTCGATGACTTTACCGCCTAGGTTATAGGACCGATAGCATAGAGTACCCGACAGGGTATCGAAGCAATTATCGACAAAGCGCTAGACTAGGAGAAGAGAAGCAGAGCGACGTTTGAAGCGGATAAAACGGCCGTTATCCACTTTACCTATAAGGCCTATAAAGCTAGCTCAGAACCCTTTACCATCAAAGGTCAAGAAGTTCAGCCGAAAGATCACGTTAAGATCCTTGGAGTGGTCATAGATGCCCAGCTCAGGTACAAGCAATATATCGCAAGAGCGGCGTCTAAAGGGCTTAGTACGGCAATGGAGTTGAAACGGCTCAGTGGTCTATCTCCACGTATAGTGCGGCAGCTGTTCACCGCCATAGTCGTGCTAGTGGTGGACTATACCTCTAGTGTCTGGATGTACCAATGCAATTGGAAGACCGCGCCGGCTATATATAGGGTATAGAGGGTTGTAGCGCAAGGGATTATAGGAACGTTCAGCACGGTAGCAACCAGCGTAGCGGAAGCAGAAGCTTATATCCCTACGGCTTAAGATCGATTCTGGAAGAGGGCGGTCAAGATGTAGACAGACATCTACACCCTACCAGAGACAAATCCACTCTGTAATACCGCTTCCAGGATATATAAGTTCCGGAGATCCTACCGCTCGCTATTCTTTCAGGTAGCAGATCTCCTTAAGGATATCCCATTGGACGGCCTTGAAACCATCACTCCGGTCGTATTAGCGCCATGGGAGGGACAAGTCTGCACTACGGTTAACGGTATAGGCGTCCTATATAAGGAGACAGAATAGGCGGTCTGTATCGCCGTAAGTACCTCCGCACGAAACAACATAGTAGGGATTGGAGGAGTCGTCCGACTCCCATTGTCTACGCGAGGTGGCTTAAGGGATAAAGCCTTTAGTATAACGCTGGGCTCTAGGTTGGAGCAGAACCCGTTCTCAGGCGAGCTCGCGGCTATTAGGCACGCGCTAAGACTGATTCAAAATATCATATACTGTAAGATCATCCTTGCCACAAGCAACAAGGCGGCTGTAATGGCCTTGCAGCATCCACACCAGCAATCAGGCCAACAATATATCTATCAGGCGTACGATGTGATAAGAGCCCTATAGAGGGCTGGAAACACGATCTCGGTTGTCTAGATCCAAGCGGGTACCAAAAACGAGCTCCTCAATATAGCCAAGGTGAAAGCAAAGGAGGCAACACGGTGGCAAGCTACGCTACAGACCCAGGATCCTGCCATACAGTCGACGGCCCTTTATATCGCATGGGCAAAGCAGGCACCGCCCACGACCCTACCAGACAAAGTGGGCAGATATTCCAAGAGAGTCGATATAGCGTTACCAGGGAAGCATACTCGACTGTTATACGACAACCTGTCTCGAAGCGAGGCCGGCGTGCTTGCTCAGCTCAGAACAGGCATGGCCAAGCTCAACACATACCTGCATCGCATCGAAGCAGCCCCTTTAGATCAGTACGCGTATAGACAAGCAAGAGAGACAGTAGACCACTTCCTCTTCCGATACAAGCAATAGGATGAACACCGTACGGAGATACTACAATATACGGATGTCTATAGGGGCAACCTCTCCTTCTACCTAGGGGGAAAGTCTCCCTCGGATGACAAGCACTGGTCCCCGAACATGCAGGCGGTGCGGGCGACGATACGCTTTGCCATCGCCACAGGTCGTCTGCGGATAGAACAACCGCAGAATATAGGAAACTAACCTTACCATCCTATACCCCGACTAACACCCCCTTCACCTCGTGCCACACCGAGTAAGCATGCTTCAACTGCCGAGGATAGGACGTTGGACACTTGGGGATTGGCCTTCAAGCCTGCTTACTATTCGTACTACTAACCTACGAGCACCCGTAGTAGAGAGGGCAAAAGTGTAAGGAGTTAAGCCAGAAGAGGAGATTATACGGGCTTCAGAAGACTAGGATCTATGTTAGGATGTGTACTAGTAGACTGCCTGATAGTTGCCCTTTCGGGTTAGGCCCGCCGGGCGGAATAAATTGTGTGTGTGTGTGTGTGTATTTATCTCCTCGCAGCTCGAGGAGAAGGCACTTTATTAGTTTGAGCCTACTCTTAAAGACTGGCTAACGAACAACAAAAACACGTGGGAGAACTTTACTATAGAGGTCTTCAAGTCTTATAACAAGTTCGAAAGGGAAATTCAAAAGGTATTTAGAGACTATAATAAGAAGCTCTATATATAAGAGCGACTTATATATCTAAGGTAGACAAAGTTAGCAGCTACTTATACTATATAGTTTTGCTAGGACTTACTCTAGTGTAATATCAACGATAAAGGTCTTATATAGTTATTCTATAACGTATTTGATAAGCGAGCGGTCCAGACAAGCGAACGGTCCACTTTCCACTACCCTATGAACACTATACTCAATTGCAACACAACAACACTAGGAACCAACTATAATTACATCAGAAACAGCTAAATCTGAGGATTCTGCAGCCTCCCGGCAAGTACGTACATTATGGCCAGGCTTGCCGCATACACCACAGCACCGAACCTTCGTACGACCCCCCCCTGTACCACCACCGTCCGGCTGCGTTTCTTGTACCACCTCCCCAACCACGGCCTTCTGGTCTAGTAGATCCTTTGCATCCTATACTACAAGTGATCCTCCAAGCTATACGCGTGTTCTTTTGGCTCTCCGGCGCTTGCTTAGTGCCTCGTTGGCCTTGCGGAGCGAAGAGACCTCTGACCGAAGGAGGGCCACCTAGTGCATTATAGCCATCGTACCCTTAGTAAGTTGATCTACAGCACCTAATATTGAAGTTGGAGAGCTGTTTTGATGGTTGGCAATGCGAGTCTTGATAAGTGTTGACTGCGATTCGGCTTCTCGGGGGTTATATGGTGTCTAGAAGACCTAAGATTGTGCAGTGCTAG